TATTTGTAGTAGTGAGGAAACCAAGCAGTATGCAATACTCGATAGGCCTGTCTAGTCCCATGGCCGAAAAATGTTGCTATCAAGGTCCGTGATGTTGTCGCTCTCCGTATTTGGTAATTTGATTATGGATACCCTGGCACCGCCGAACCGGGATAGGGGCGGTTTATGTACTCCCTTACATAGCAGCTTCAACATTATACCTTTTATCGGTCCATGGGGGCAGTTCCAGGAGAGGAGCCAATTCTTGGCTATGGGCACGGGTACAGTACTCGATAGACGATTTCCTTTTCTTGTCAACGAGTCCAACTCATTTTGAGTCAGCATGGGTTAACAGATTTTTAAACTTCGACTCAATCGGAAAAGAAACCCATGAGAGACAGAGAAGTATGTTTTTATGTATTTTTGACGAATTCTGAAAAATTGTCCAGGACAGCGAGGAATTCGGGAGACTGAAATCCCGTACGACGGGGTTTGGCTACAATTGCGCGACGTTGACGATGGTTAAGAGGGGGTGTGACGGGGCAAGAAAGCCTATCAGGTGATAAGGGCTCACTCCCCGCTCCAGGAAACTCGTATGATATCATAATTATCATAACGATGGCTAGGGTTGGTCTCGGTAGAGTTGTAAAGGGAATAGTAGGCACCCCGCTGACCTGGCTCAAGTTCCTCGGAGGCGGGGACTAAGGTGCCCTATTTTTGGAAATCACCAGCTGCTACTATAGGCTTAGCTGTAAAGGGAACCAAAAATGGATAAAAACGGCATAGCAGATTGTAGAGTCGATGGGCTCCGCATATTAAGTATGATACGGTCCAAGGCCACCCAATAATATAGGAAACCAGGGCGATGTTCTGTCATCAAAACCAAATCTGGGACTATGAGTGCTCAACGGCAAAGAATTTTAAACAGAGATATCGGATCACCTCCCACATCGAATCAAGAAGTACGAAACCACGCCAACTACAGCGGGTTGGGGGGTTTTAACTTGAATTCAAACCCGGAAAAGACTTATACCTCCTTCAACCGCATTATCTTGAAATTGACGAAATTTTCTGGGTTGTCTAAGAGGGGGGACGGACATGCGCGGGCAAAGCCAAACCTGTCTGAGCACCTGAGGAGCTGGAGTGATCAAATTCCGAAGGAAAACTCTTATGGTGCTCAAGCATCAATCAAGTAGGTTCTAGTTATTTGATATAGCAGATTAAATTTGTGTAGGGATTGGGACGGACATCTAAAGAATCAATTCGGATTCATTGGCGAGCATTATTCGTTACACCGGTGGAATTTATATGAGGGCTCGGGATCCCGGCCTATCCCTTCTCGGAAGCAGTATTTCGGCGCAAAGCGGCCTAGTATAATAGGGTGCGACTTATTTGTGAAGAAATTGTGTGTTGTCAGCAGCCATGGCTCGAATTTCTCCAGCAATGCTACTATCGCAGCGCCTTGAATTAGCAGTGAGCGCAGATACCTTCCAAGGCTGTATATTATTCGTTTAGGGAACCGAGATTTCCCATATCGGTACTTAATTCCCATACTTCTCCGCAGATATTCCCCCGGCCTAATTGCTTTCAAACGCTCACCCTACTGTTGGGAATGCCCTCTGTTCTGATTGGAGTATCATATACCACTCTCGGGGAGTTTTGGCTGAGTAGATATTTGTTGGTATATAGAAAAAAAATCATGCTCTAATGTTTTCAGCGGTTCTATGGATAGTTTTTATTTTTTTTGTGAATGTTCGCAGGTGTAATATCATGACGGTAAATCTGCAGTTGTTGCCGTAAAATTGCATATGCCCCCTCACTTTTTTCGGTCCCACTTATATTGTGCTTGAAGCTGTGTACGGTGCATATGTGACCCCGCTTTGTTTGGTTCGATCCAAGCATCCCAATGGTCTAACGCCGGTCGCAAATGAGGAAACCTTACCTAGGTTCACGCCGGATCGGTTGGGTATATCCACGGGAAGGTGGGGGAGGGGTTGGGAAAGTAGACTGGATGAAGGCTAGACTGTGGTGGAATCAGGCTCTATTATACGATACTAAACTAGTCACCTACACGCCCGTAATGGAAAGCCACTACCTCGAAGATGTTTCCATGGCCCTAGGGTTGATAATAAGAAATACCGGGCCAACCTGCTTACGACGGCGTATAGCTCGGGCATGTGCAACCTGTCATGTCCCGGGGCAAGAAAACCTTACCCACCTTCCGGGAATTGACTTATCGCATTGTTCCTGACTGAGCGTGCCCACGAGAAAAAGGAATTACTGCAAAGCAGGAGTGAGATTGCCGAGTACTCAGGTGGACTTGGATTGGAGGAGTTCTATATGAAATCGGTAATGTCTCACCGAACTAGAGAAAATTCATGACAAGTGATACCATATGGGTACGCCAACCAGTGGGCTTGTGTTAGTGTCTTGCATAAATTATCGCGATGTGCACATTTTCCTCCACGCCTCATCCCTCATCGGGAGGGCCATTCGGTAATCCCGTGGGTTCAGATTGTTGTTTCCAACGGTATTGATACGGAGAGCACCAAGGATTGAAGCATTTGTCTGGTTTGTTGGGTATCCGGCTTAAAACCACCCCGTCCGACCAAGAACCCGGGTTAACAGACGAAGCTGGGAGGACCTGGTTTACAGGGAGGGAAGGTAGTTTGGATCTCTGGGTGGAGAGTCGGTTGGGTTTGTGTGAATCATAAGATACCCAGAGGAACAATGATGGGGAGAAGCGAGCACCATATGTGAAAGTCAAGAAGTACTTGTAGTCGGGGTGTTTGGACGAGTTCTTCCCCCTATTGCTGGGAATGTCATCCTCGAATGGTTACACCAATAGGTTCAGGGTTTACGTTCTTGGCATACCGGCATGGTAACATCTCATCATCAGAGATGAGGTTTCTCAACCACCGGTGCCTGCTATGTGCTTCGGGTGCCTGGCCGTCTTCGGTTTTCGAAAGAGCTCCGAGTAGGAAACATGAGTTGCACCTTTCTACTATACTGCAGTTACTCTAGGGTATTAAATTTATACTCGTACAGGGAATCCCGGAGCGATATGGACAGTTGAGCACAAAATAAGGTTCTAAGTCATGAGCCGAAGTGCCTGGTGCTAGTGCGGCTCCGCAACACGCTACCAACCATCCAAGCACTCGCTTAAATTAGCCTACCGATATGGTATATATCAGAACAACGGGCTCATAATCACGTGATTGGTTTAAGGGATGCACTTCTTCAGGTCTCAGCCTCATGCCTAACGCCGGGTGCGGTCTATCTTCGCACTAACCAACGATCACCATACCCACTAAGCTCGTTGCCGGGATTCCGCCCTCTCCTATTATTGTATGCGGAATATCTCGGATCACTTTTTACATTCTACCACAGGTTTGATCCTCGCTATTAACGCATATCCCACTCGTATCTGACTCTGGGTGCTGGCATGTTGCAAGCGAATGACAGTAGACTCCAGGTTCAGGTGGAAAACTACCGCGAAAGTCAGAAAGAAGCTGGGAAGAAAACAAAACAGTACAAGTCACAGTTTAAGTGTACGAACTGAATAAGTGTAGTCCCTGCACTGTGAGTAATCTTGGGTTTCACCTTGTATTCTCAGGAACAATCGTTAAAACTAACACTTTAAAGTACCAAACATCAAAGCTCTAGCGAGAATAATTCCTGATCGTCCCGGGGCCTGCTCAAGTATTTTAGGGAAGCAGGCCAAAATCCGCCCCCTAATAGAGGAGGAAGTTCCCTTTCCGGACCACCGCGACAACAAGTCCAGTTCAAGCCAGGAGTCCGGTTCACTTGTCGTAGTGGAGGGGAGACCTGGGCCGCAAAATCCCCATATCCAAACAATAGCTCAAAGGGCGTACTGGAGATTAGAAATTATGCGTCGGTTTATGCGGGTAGGAGTGCGGAAAATACTAGGCTCAGTTCATCTGGATAGCTTAAGGGGCGTTGATGACCGGGGCTTAGCACTCTATGATCAGGGAAGGTATGACGAGGCAGAGATCGTGTATCGACGTGCATTGGCAGAAAGAGAGAAAACACTCGGGTTGGATCATCAAGACACCTTACAGAGTGTGAATAATCTCGGTGCGGTATTGCATTCCCAGGAAAAGTACGACGAAGCAGAGATCCTGCATCGGCGCGCATTAGCAGGCATGGAGAAAGCACTCGGGCTAGATCATCGAGATACCTTACACAGTGTTCGTGAACTAGGTATGGCGCTGCATTGCCAGGAAAAGTACGACGAGGCCGAGAATATGCATCGACGTGCACTAGCGAGCAGAGAGAAAACGCTCGGGCCAGATCACCGAGATACGCTAGAGAGTGTTAACAATCTCGGTGCGACTCTGCGTAGTCAAGGAAAATACGACGAGGCTGAGATTATGCATCGGCGTGCACTGGCGGGCAGAGAGAAAAAGCTCGGACGAGATCATCGAGAGACCTTGCGGAGTGTCAATAATCTCGGTGGGACGTTGCATTATCAAGAAAAGTACGACGAAGCCGAGATTATGTATCGGCGTGCATTGGCAGGCAGAGTGAAAACCCTCGCCCCAGATCATCAAGACACCTTGAAGAGCACCGAGAACCTCGGTACGACTCTGCATAGGCGCGGAAAGCACGACGAGGCTGAGATTATGCATCGACGTGCATTGGCCGGCAGGGAGAAAACTCTCGGATTAGATCATCGAGATACCTTAGAGAGTGCCAATAGTCTCGGTACGACTTTGCGTAGTCAAGGAAAGTACAACGAAGCTGAGATTATGTACCTGCGTGCATTGGCGGGTAGAGAGAAAACGCTCGGGCAGGAACATCGAGATACTTTACAGAGTGTTAGAGATCTAGGCGTGGCGCTGTATCGTCAGGAAAAGTACGATGAAGCGGAGGTTATGCATCGACGTGCCTTTGCAGGACAAGAGAACAGATTTAGGTTAGATCATCGGGATAGCTTACAAAGTGCCGAAAATCCGGGTTCGGTTTTGCCAGATCAGAAAAAGAACAAAGTGGAAATTATGCATCGACACGTAGCGCAAGGTAGGGAGAACGCACTTGGACCACCCCACCCAGACGTCTTACTAGGTGTTGTTGGACTAGCTGTGGCGCTTCTTTCTGAGGGAAAGTATGAAGAGGCTAAGCTCATGTATCGACATGCCCTAATGGCTATGGAAAAGTCTCTGGGGCCTGATCATCCAGATGTCCTCGACAGCACGAATATGCTCGGAGAAACACTGCTCGAACTGGAAAGGTATTACGAAGCGGAGGCCATGTGGCGATGCGCATTGGCGAGTAGAGAGAAAACTCTAGGAGTGGATCATGCAGCTACCCTTACAAGCGCCGATAGCCTTGGTCGGACACTGTATCATCAGAGAAAGTACGAAGAGGCTGAGAGGGTGTTTCAATCTGTGCAGGCGGGCAGAAAAAAAGTGCTCGGACTGTACCATCCAGATACTCTACTGAGTGTCCTTCGCCTAGGTGTGACGCTACTTGATCGGAGAAAGTATGCGGAAGCTGAGATCATGTATCGGCATGCCCTAGAGGGTATGGAGCAAGCTCTAGGGCCCGATCACCCAGAGGTCCTTGACAGCATGAATACGTTAGGCGAGACGCTACTTGATCTGAAAAAGTATGGTGAAGCGGAAGCTATGTGTCGGCGTGCCTCGGCAGGTAGAGAGAACACCCTTGGACCAGATCATCGAGATACCCTTCTAAGTCTCAATAATCTTGGCCTGGCACTACGTAAACAGAATAAGCACCACGAAGCGGAGATTAGTTATCGCCGTGCGATGATGGGTACGGAGAGGACGCTTGGGCTGGACCACCGGGATACCCTAATGTGTATCTATAACCTGGCTGGAGCGTTGCACAAACAGAGAAAGTATGACGAGGCGGAGATGGTGCATCGGCGTGCGCTTGCGGGACGAGAGAAGATTCTTGGGTTAGGTCATCGACACACCCTTCGTAGCCTCATCAAGCTAGGCACAGTACTTTACGAGAAGAGAGAATACGATGAAGCGGAGGTTATTTATCGACGAGCCGTCGCGGAAGCAGAGAGAATTCTAGGGCCTGGTCATCCTGTGACCCAAAAAGCTTTTAGCCACCTCTCGATGTTTCTCTATATACGGGCGGCGATCGATCCGGGCGAAGCATTATGACGGATGAGGGGTTTAGGTTTACTTATGGATGAAATTATATCATAATATTATTGGCAATTTTTTCTACATCTTAGTTTTTCTCTGTTTCTTTCGAAATATGGAGCTTTCTTAACGTCGAGTTCTCTTGCTTCATACGGAGGTGTTGAATGGTTTACTTTTTTTGATTGGAGTTAAATTAGCTTCATAATCAGGGATTCAGAGATTTGTTCTTTCATTGGATCAAGGCCCTTGTTTATCCTGACCAGCCCCTCCGATAGCTCAGCGGACTAGCTGGAGCCAGTAGTTCCAACAGTTTCCTTTCACAGCCTGCATTCTTGTTAAGGGCTGTGGGGCACATGGATAAAGTAGTACTCTCCCACTCAGTCATGAATCAGCTCTAACAATGAAACAAGCCTTCTGCGACACACAATGCTCAAGTGGGCACAGGTATATGGCACCCTTTACCACGAAAAGCAATAGACCTTCCAGGAAAGTGTACCGGAAGGCCAAGTCCAAGGGCACTAAATCCCGCCCGGCGCTCTACGTGATCCACAACATGAATTCCTATGATGGACACATTATAAAGCCAATACACAGAACAAGATTCTCCCCTGGGGGATATATATATGCTGCATTCCTGCAAACAAACTACAGGACACCATGCCCTAGGATTACCAACGCAATCCACTCCCTTCTATGAACCTGCAGTTCCATCCTTACGTTGCCTACTAGACAGATAAAAACAAAAGGGTGGAAATCTGATTATGCTATTAAAGCTCAAAGACCCATCGCGCTGTCGAAGGGAGTACCTGTTCTGTGGATACATTCCTTCCCTGCAAAGATATATCTAAGATGCGCTAATACAACTTCCTACCCCCAAACCTCCCACCTCCGCAATTCCCTAGGCAAAAACGAGACGTTGTAGATTTGATCACCGGAGCTCACTCGGAAAACATTCATGCTTTATTTTTCCCCTTCGTTCTTATGACACGTTTGTGGTTAGCCCATCCCCTTGGCATCGTCCCGGTCATTTGATATCCATTTAATTGTGATTGCGCAACGCGGGCATCCTGGGGTGGAGAGGGTGGCATGATTGTGGGTTGCGTTGAGCATTGTCAACGACCAACTCTCAAGAACGACGGGAAATGGTTGACTTATGAGAAGGGTAAAGAAAAGCAAATGTCGGTTTGGTAGCAAACACAGAAAATCAAAGGAAATAACACCAGCTACAGCCGCACCCCGTTTTCATGGATAGTCAAAACCCTAAGCAGGCTCACCTACATTGGAGGTTCTAGATTGATGTCGACTGATCGGAGCAGATTGTGGAAGTTTCGGGAGTCTTGCGGAGAGTTTAGAAGTTTTATAAATCAGTGTGGGGGACCAGAGATTTACACAGTAGATTCTTTAGATGTCTTTCTCCTTTGCTATCGTAGAAATGTGTGGAGGAATGGGGGCATGTGTGGAGAACATAGAGACAGGTGTGGTGATCTACGGAAGGATCGGGATGCATTGATCATGGTTTACTTATGCATCTGTCTTTACCACCACATATTCATTTATTCTATCTACAGCTGCGCAATCGGCCATCAACCATTATCCCTGTTAAGATCCGGGGCAACGAAGAATGCGGGGGAGTGAAATGGTCGGGAAACTCACCTTGGAAATTGGTAAAAGATGAGGTTACGGTGGAGCGGTAACTATCCTATAGAAGGTCTAAATGAGGGGTAAATCCGTAAACAAAAAGCCACGTGAAATAAGCCGACGGTTTAATGATATCATACTCGATAGATGATTTCCTTCCCCCGTCAGTGAGTCTACCTCACTATACCACAAGCGGATCTCTCTCACACTACCAAAATGCACAACATACCATAGAAACCCGGTCTAATGCCTTTACAAAGATATGGCTCCGCTGCCCATGAAAAATCCTGAAATTGACACTTTCCAGCTTTGCGCAGCATGAGGGATAATAACCCATCGGCCTCCTTTGAAAAGTCCTGAAAAATTGTCCAGGACAACTAAGAATCTGGGAGACTGAAATTGGAGCGATGGGGAGTGGGTGTAATTGTGCGACGTTGCCGATGGCTAAGCGGGGGTGATGGGAAAGGGGAGATTATCGAGTGATAGGGGCGTTCCCCCCAGACAGGGAAACTATTATCATAGCTATGATACCAGCGCAGCGCATACGGTCCAAGGATACCCCACAATTTAGGCAAACCTGGGCAATGTTCTGTCATCAAAAACAAATCTGAGACCATGAGTAGGCAACGGCGACGGATTTCAAAACAGCGAGTGCCTCGCAGAAGTAATAGAAATATCAGATCAGATCACCTCCCATATCAAATCAGGAAGTACGAAATGGCGCCAACCAAAGCCAGTTGGGAAAGGTTTAACTTGAGCTCAAACAGAGAAATGAGTTATGCCCCCTGAAATCTCATGATCTTGATAGTTATAAAATTGACAAAATTTGTTGAGATATCCGAGTCTGCAAAAAGGAGGACAACATGCACTGTCAACGTCAAGCCTGCCCGAGCATCTGAGAGGTTGGAGGGTTGGAGTTAGAAATGGGAAGCCTAATGGTACTCGAGTATGAATCGACTAAGCTCTAGTTGTTTGCCACACTAGATTAAATTTGCGTGGGGATTGGGGTGGATGTTTGAGGAACCAATTTGAATTTATTAGTTAGTATAGTTCACTATACCGATGGAACCTGTATGGGGGGTTGGGGATCTCCGCCTATCCCTCCTGAGAAGCAGATTTTCGACGTAAAGCGGTCTGCTATTATACAACCTACGGAAGAGGGTGTTGCGTAGATATCTGCGAGAGAAAGTGAAGATTGACACATCCCCGGATATAATGAGCCCTGCACTGGGGGCAGACATTATCCAGAGCATTCCCTAAATTTGCTCGGAAACGTATGTAGGAACGAGTGAAAATTTTGGTAGAAACAACTCCCTTTATCGATCAATCACGAAAACATTAACGAATAAAGTTGCGCCAGTCTGTTTCACCGTGGCGAGCGATCACATAAGCCAGTAGACGTCGAGGGGCCGTAGAGCGGCAGCCACAATGTTAGCATCTCAAGATTCTACAGGTACTTGTACTGTACAGTATGATATCTATAATATTACCACTACCACCTGTTTCCAGAAGAGAAAAAAAGTTCCCCCTTACAGATTGTATGTTTTTACCCCCACCCAATGCAGGACTTTGCGTGGAAAAAAGAAATTTGGAGAAGAGACGAAGAGAGATAAAAAACTCTAAATTTATACTCCTGACGGTTGCTTCTCTTGGGAATTTAGTTTTTTGTCTACGATATGAAGAAGATATGGCATTCGCCTTCACCTCGGAATGCACCTGTAGTTCCCAGTTCCCATATTAAAGCGTGCGGCTGGGGGGGGTAGCGGAGGGTGAGATTGGATGCTGGAGGGTCTTAAGCCGACTGTACCGCACTGCTGCAACCGGGACGACGCTTCAGCTGGCGGGGCCCAGAGGCGAGAGTCCGGATCCGTTGCGGCCAGCTCCCCGCACTCCCGCTTTGTCCCTCAGGTTGCATGTCCTGAAGAAATTTCTCGAACTCCAGTTGCCCAGCCATCCGGTGGCTTGCGCATCATGAGGTCCATTCCAAAAGGCTGTCGACGCCTTTTATGCTTCCAAATCACACCTGAGGGATTAACGTGGCGCAAGCTTGAAGAGCGACTTCAAGATATGGCATGCGAGAGGTGTATCGTACGGTAGAGAATTTTCGGCTAACAATCTCTTGCTTCGCGGGTAGATACTGTAGAGGGAATTGCACTGTACTAGGCAGGATGCGTGGAGCCGGAGATTTCAACTCGAGGTTGCTATAGTACTCGTACTGTACGAGTACCGTACATGCTATTGTAATCCATTCCAGCCTTTGACAAAAACAGCAAGTGAGAGTTTGTGTAACCGTTTTTGGGCCTATTGTTGGATTATGGTCGTTTAGACCACAGGGCTTTGCCACTAACCCCGCTTTCCCCCAATTTCAAGCAATCGCGTTAACCAACCCCAAGTTGATCAACCCTTTGCCCCTTACAAAATTCAGAGTAACGGAAAACGGAACATGTCGCAAGCCTTCAGCAATAACAATAACAGTTTCAATACCTGGAACTGCACTGTCTCCGATGATAATTCTAAAGTGCTGGAGTGGCTGTCTCCGTTAGAGCCACGGGTACGGCATCGAGATATTGCTGCCCAGAGGGTGGACAGTATAGCGGACTGGCTGCTGGAAACCAGGGAGTTTAGATGGTGGCATCGAGGTGGGAAGGATGGTGAATCTAATAATGCGACTTTATTTTGCGATGGCAATCCAGGAGTGGGAAAGAGCTATATCGTGTAAGAGAGAACATGTACCTTTGGGGGAAACAAATTTCATGGTTACTGATAGGTCGCGATTGCAGTTCTCTGGTTATTGACAGATTATGCGATGAGATCGCCGAGGAAGACACCGCCGTTACCTGTTTTTACTTCGACTTCGCTTCCCGGAACGAGCAGTCACCGATGAATATGCTCGGCTCCCTCCTGAGACAGCTGGTTAACGGGTTGGATGAAATTCCGGATATCGTAGTCCAGGGCTTTCGAGCCGAGAAAAAGGCTATTGGGGGTAGAGGATTACAGGTTTCAGGCATTTTGAAGATGTTTCAGTCCATCACAGCCAAAAAACGGACGTTTATATGTGTTGACGCCCTCGACGAATGTGTACCAGAGCATAGGGTGGTAGTTCTTGAATCACTCGGGGAGATTCTCCAGCGGTCGCCTGGTACTCGCATATTTATGACCGGAAGACCACACGTCAGGAGGGAAGTTGAGAGAAAATTGGATGGGACAACAAGTTTTATGTTGATACAACCTACGGAAGAGGGTGTTGGTAGATATCTACGCAAGAAACTCAGGAGTGACACATCCCCAGATATAATGAGCCCCGCATTGGAGGCAGACATTGTCAAGAGCATTCCCGAAATTAGTTCGGAAACGTATGTAGGAATGAGGGCAAGGGTAAAAGTACAGGGGGCTAATGGCTGACAAATCGGAATTTAGATTCCTCTTGGCTTCTCTCCACATCGACGCAATCCTACGAGAAACCACAATTGCTCGACGAGGAAAGCGTCTCAGGTCAGTTAAGGATGGGGTAGGGTTAGGGGATGCATATGGCGCAACTCTAGAGCGGATAAGGGCTCAAGATGAGGAAAAGGCAAAACTTGCAATATCCACACTCACATGGATCTGTCATTCGGAGCGGCCATTAGAGGTGGATGAGCTGTGTAATGCACTGGCGGTGGAGATAGGTGCAACGGATTTCGATCCCGACAATGTTCCTTCGATAGGTACATTGATGGGCTGTTGTCAGGGCCTGATTTCCGTCGATAAGGAAGCTTCAACTGTGAGGCTAATCCACTTTACCGTCCAAGAGTATCTTTGTGCTCAACCGGACCTCTTCAGTAACCCTCACGCGACAATCGCAGAAGCATGTTTGACCTACCTTAACTCACAACGGGTCAATAATCTTCCACCCTATCCTCTCCCAGACCACGAGAGCTTGCCATTTCTCGAGTATTCTTCCAGATACTGGGGAACACATGCCAACAGGCAACTCTCAGACCATGCGAGGACCCTTGCGCGGCAGCTCTTAGGCCAGTGCGAAGACCACGTATCGGCAGTATCGCTTTTAACTCAAGCACTAGATCCCAGCCAAACCGGAAACATAGATACTCCTCAGTTCTCCGGACTACATTTTGCATCGTTCTTTGGGATCGGTGAACTTGTGAATACGTTGATGGATGCTAAAGGTTGCGATATCAACCAACGAGATTGTGCAGGTTGTACACCACTCTCATGGGCAGTCGAAAATGGACATGAACAAGTAGTAAATATACTATTGGAGAGGAAGAATGTCGACCCTAATAACCCCAATAATCGGGATCGAACGCCACTCGTGTGTGGTGCTATGGGTGGACATGAAGCAGTGGTGAATCTTCTAATCGGGCGAGAAGATGTCAACTCAAATCAGCCAGATGGCCAAGACAGCACACCACTCTTATGGGCTGCTTATAAAGGACATGAAGGGGTTGTGAGGTTGTTACTGGGTCGAGAAGATGTCGACCTTGAGAGGCCAGATGACCGGGACTGTACACCACTCTTCTGGGCCGCTAACAACGGGCATGAAGGGATTGTGAAACTATTACTGGGAAGGAAGGGTGTTGACCCCGATCGCCGAGGCGGCAAATATAACCGAACACCACTCGGATGTGCTGCTTTCGAGGGACACCAAGGAGTGGTCAAGCTACTGCTAGGAATGGAAAATATCGATCCCAATCCTAAAGATGTGTATGGTCGAACACCACTCGGGTCTGCCGCATTCATGGGACATGAAGGGGTGGTCAAGCTATTGCTAGGAATGGAAAATGTGGACCCTAATCCTAAAAATGTGAATGGCCGAACACCACTTGCGTCTGCCGCATTCATGGGACATGAAGGGGTGGTCAAGCTACTGCTAGGAATGGAAAATGTTGACCTCAATCCTACAGATGTGGATGGTCGAACACCACTCGGGTGTGCCGCTATCAATGGACACGAAGGGGTGGTCAAGCTATTGCTAGAACGGGAAGATGTCGACCCTGACAAGCCGGATATCCAAGGCGCTACACCACTCTTGTTGGCAGCATATAATGGACATGCACGAGTCTGACGGATACTGCTTGAAAGAGAGGATGTCGACCCCAATCACCCAGATGTTTTTGATAAAACACCACTCCACTAGGCCACTCTGAATGATCATGAAGCAGTGGTCGAGCTACTACAAGCCAGGGAGTCTCTGGGAATTGCAGATGAGCGGCATCCTCACTAGCTGGAAGCGAACTAAAATAAAGTAGGGGCACGGAATACTCGGTTAGTGTTGGAAATTGTTGGAAAATTGTCCCTGAGTTTCGATTTCATACTTTCTATTGGTTTCCTATCTGATCTTTACGAACTTTCCTTCATACCTTACTTGATGTCTGAAACTGTTATCTCCCTGTTGTCTCCGTACTGTTTCCTCTCTATTTCCTTGCGGTGAAAATTTCTCTCTTGTTTCTTTCTTGTTTCAGTGGGACAAGACTTTCGTTCCCCTTACCGGGGATGAAAATTTTCATCCACACAAGGCACCGTATTGGATGAGGATCATCTTGTGTTAAAAGCCCCTTATTAACTACTTAGAAATGATATGCGAATTCTAACCTTTCAATCGTGTGCCTAAGAAAATCTCTTGCTGGATTTTACCTATCATTCTTACTTATACTTCTCTCTCTTCACGTTACCGAACGCTTTATTTTATAGTACTTCAGAAATCATGGCTTCTGCTCGGCATGCTCATGACTTTGTTCTCTTGTTCGTCGGCATATCTGTCCGTCGGCATCTCTACCCGTCCGTTTATTGCCCATCTGCATATTCGCTGTACGTTCCTGGAGCCGGCAGTTTGTTCATTCCCGCCCGTCCACTTTTCCGTTGCCGCCTATTCGTCACTCGTTTGTTGTTTTGACGCATTCACTTTGTTTGGCGGAGGTTTCGGTTGTGCGCTTTGGAAAAGTGCTTACGATGGAGAAGTATATGAACGGCAAGGGAGTTATAGACGGTCGGGAGTCTTTGTTCCTGTATTTCTTTTGCTAGCACGGGAGCGCGGAAGGAAATTGGAGAGTCTTTGAGAAGTCTATTGTTTGTTCTCTCTTTTGTTAGCATTGTTGATAGAATGGGAGCGCACAGAGGAAATGGAGATGAGTGTGTGAGGTGTTGGAGACACCAGTATGCGGTGATCGCAGGAAAGGATAGGATAGGTGATCTTTATCATTTATTTATACTCTTGTCTTTTCCTGTCAGTTAGTTTCGAGTCGCGGAGCAATTGAGAGAGTCGTTGAATAGAGCGAGTCGCGGAGCGACCTTTGTGAACTTCCCCCCTTTTGGTTGTGCAGAGTTTTCGCAGCGCATATAATCATCGCCGTTTCATCGTCGTTCGGTATCGTCCTGGCTTTAGCCCGTTGATTTCTAAAAACCCGAGCCAACGCCAAGTCGATTAGGTCTATCCATGGGAAGGGAAAAATGTATTGGATGAAGATCAAACAATGTCGCAAACAAGCTCTATCATAGTGTACGACAAATCCACATACGTGCCATAAGGCATGCCTACTGCAGAAGATGTTTCTATAACGCTAGGGTTGATGACGAGAAACACCGGCCCAACTTGCCAATGGCGATGCGTTACTCTGACGGGTGCGAGTGGTCAAGTCTCGAGTGACGACAAGTCCCTCGGGAAGCGACTGACACGGTAGTCCCTAACCGGGTCTTTTCGATAGGAAAGGGGATCGCAGAAAAACCTGAAAGGAGATATTGGGCACTTGGCTGGAGTCGGGCGGGATAAGGAGGGGGTACTATAACCCTCTTCGGGGGACTCTTTCCCTCGAAGGGGTAGGGGGTTTGGGAGAAACATCACCATGTGCCAAGCGATCGTCGGTATGATACCCGAGTCGAACCCTCCCGGTCTGTTGGAAATGCTGCTCTCTAGTCTAATGTGCCAAGGTTTTAGTTCGATACGCTGATTAGCCATAGCGATATTTCCTGCGAAAAACACCATCGGCTTGAAAGAGCTCTAGGGTTCGTGGGGTAATCTGGGTTTAAGCCGCCGGGCCGGACCCAGCCGGACCAAGAACCCGGATTGGCACTGTAAAGCTTGGTGCACTTGATTTGCGTGTAAGTTTGGATCTGTCTGTGGAGGTAAGTTTGATTCGGGCGAATTATAGGAAGCGTATACAAGCGACGAGGGGGAAGCTAGCATCGCAAGCTGAAGCCAAGAGGCCGCGGCTCGGGGGGTTGCTCGTCATATCCGCAAAGATGTAGCGAAGAGCTTGAAATATAATACAGTATTTAGCAAGTTACACTAATAGGGTATAGGATTATGGCTAAGGTAGAAGTATGATATCTCATCGGAGATGAAGTTTCTCAGGAGCGGGTTTCGAGCTGTGCTACTTGGGTTGGGCTTGGCTTACTATTCAAGGCTGTTCTGGCACTGCTAGCGGCATGACAGAATGGTAAAAGCATGGTGGTAATTCCAACTTAATACTATGTTATGTGGGGCAAAGCCAAGCGAGGGGAAGAGGGGAATCGGAGGTTAATGTTGCGCTACTGAAACCGCTGCAGGTGCCGCGGGTCAGAGATTTGGAAGGAGCTTTATCTGCAGGATCTCTCGAACTCGCAGAAGAAGGAAGATGGAAGTTGTGGTGTTGCTGAAATTGTTGTCGCAGCCGCTAAGGTTGTTGGTGCTATGAAAGGCCTGAAGTATGATCTTGGTGGCGTTGCGTCGTTAACACTGAACACCAGTTCCAGCACTATGATACCACTGCCCTCGAAGATATCCTGCCCGCCGTAACGCCTGTGTAGGTTGCTAACAGCGTTGACTGCATCGCCCTTCCACCCGTCACCTTGCCCGCAGCCGATGAGACCCAAACGAGGGAGTTTGATCCCCCTACAGTCAACTCATCACATTCCCGCTTTGTCCCTGAGGTTGCACGTTCAAACGAAAACTCTGTCAATGGCTCCGGTTACCCAATCATTCGGTGACCTGTGCACCGCTAAGGTCCGCATCAAGAAAGTTTGCTCGTGTTTTAGGTTTCCCCACATACAGATAGTGAAAAGAGTTTATATGGTACTACCGGTATTGGTTTTTGCAAATTTCACCTGCTCCGGAAGGCATTAGACAAATAGTATAAAGGAGGGGGATTCAACATGAGGTTATCATACCACAGGCAAATCAGCGGCAAGTTCTTGGGAGAAACTATTCCCGCTTGTCTGTGTCACCAATCTCGGCTCCCGTGATTTTGACAGGGGTTAGATAGGGCCAAGGCTTTTACTCTCAACCCCGCGTTTCCCGGTTTCAATCAATCTCGTTAAGGGACCCCAAGCGAATCACCACTCCTTTCAGCATTATTCAAAGCATCAAAAAATGTCTCATGTTTTGAGCTATAACAAGAGCTTAAATCATCGTCTCGAATACCTTGAACTACACTATCCCTGATGACGAGTCTAAAATACTGGCATGGTTGTCTCCACTAGAGCCGTGGGTACGACACCGCGACATTGGAGCCCAGCGGGTGGATAATGTAAGGGACTGGCTGCTGGAAACCAAGGAATTTAGATGTTGGCATAACAGTAATAGGGAGGATAAATCTAACCATGGGACCTTATTCTGCGACGGAAACCCGGGAGTGGGAAAGAGCTACATCATGTAAGAGAGGGTATACCTTCGTGAGAAATTAAGGAACAGTATGGCTGGCAAGTCCCGAGCAAAGCGCACGTTCATATGTGTTGACGCTCTAGACGAGTGTGTGCCGGAACATAGGATAGTAGTTATTGAATCGCTGGGACAGATTCTACGAGAGTCGCCAAATACTCGCATATTTATGACTGGACGTCCACATGTTCGGAGCGAGGTCGAGAGAAAATTGCATGGAACGGCAACTTTCGCATTAATAAAACCTACGGAAGATGGTTTCATTCGATATCTCCGCGAGAAACTCAGGAATGACACTCTCCCGGATACAATGAGCGCGACATTGGAGGCAGATATTTTGAAGAGTATTCCCGAGATAAGTTCGGAAACGTATGGCGCAAAACAAGCAAGGGCAGAGATACTTTAGGTTAGTGGTTGACATGTTTGTACAGGTTCCTATTGGCTTCTCTCCATATGGATGCAATTCTGCAGGAAACCACTCTGGCGCGCCGACGAAAAAGGCTCAAGTCCTTGAAAGACGGGACAGTGTTAGGGGATGCATATGGTGCGACGTTGGAGCGGATATGGGCTCAGGGTGGGGAAAAGACAAAACTTGCGATGGCCACTCTCACATGGATCTGCCATGCGGAGCGGCCATTAGTGGTGGATGAACTGTGCCATGCGCTGGCAGTGGAAATAGGAGAAACGGATTTCGATGCCGAAAATACTCCTTCGATAGGTTCATTGCTAAGCTACTGCCAAGGCCTGATCACAGTCGATAAGGAAGCTTCGACTGTGCGGTTAATCCACTTCACCGTCCAAGAATATCTTTGTACCCAACCGGACCTCTTCCGAAGACCTCACTCGACAATTGCAGGAACATGCTTGACCTATCTTAACTCGCACCAGGTCAATAACCTCTCATCCTATCCTCTCTCAGACCGCGAAAATATGCTATTCCTCAAATATGCCTCCAGATATTGGGGAACCCATGCAAACAGGGAAAGCTCGAAGCACGTAAGGACCCTTGCATTAGAGCTCTTGGGTCAGTACAACGACCACATATCCGCTGTATCGCTTTTGAAGCAAGTACTACGCCCTAGATATCTTGAGCTCATTGGTACTTCACCACACTTCTCTGGACTACACTATGCATCTTTCTTCGGGATTGTTGAACTTGTGACCGCATTGATAAATGAGAAAGGTTGTGATATCAACCAACGAGATGGGGTAGGCCGTACACCACTCTCATGGGCTGCAGGAATGGGACATGAAGGGGTGGTAAAGATACTGTTGGAGCGAGAAGATGCCGGCCCTGGTTTTCCGGATAAGCATGATCGAACACCGCTCGGATGGGCTGCTCTCGATGGACATGAAGGAGTGGTTAAGATACTGTTGGGGCGGGGGGATGTCGATCCCAATCATGCAGATTATAAAGGCCACACACCACTCGGGATTGCCGCTTTCATTGGAAATGAAGCGGTGGTGAGACTGCTCCTGGGGCGGGAAGATGTCGACCCAGACACGCCAGATGATAAAGCCTTTACACCACTCTCATTGGCTTCCCATTTTGGACATGAGGGAGTGGTGAGACTGCTCCTAGGGCGGGAAGATGTCGACCCCAATTCTACAGATAAGATTGGTCTGACACCCCTCGGGATTGCCGCTTTCGGGGGACATGAAGGAGTGGTGAGACTACTCCTGGGTCGGAATGATGTCGACCCCAATCCCACAGGTAGGGATGGTCGCACGCCACTCTCATTGGCCGCTTATAACGGACACGGAGGGGTTGCGAAGCTACTCCTAGACCGAAAAGATGTCGACCCTAATCACCTAAGCAAGAATGGTCGGACACCACTCGCGATTGCCGCTTTTGGGGGGCATGAGGGAGTGGTGAGACTACTCCTAGGTCGGAAAGATGTCGACCCGGACAGACCAGATAATCAAGACTCTACACCACTCTCATTGGCCGCTTATAACGGACATGGAGGGGTCGCGAAGCTACTCCTTGACCGGAAAGATGTCGACCCTAATCACCAAGGCATGAACTGTCGGACACCACTCGGGTGGGCTGCTCGGAAGGGACATGGGCGTGTAGTAAATCTATTGCTGAAGCGGGAAGGTGTCGACCCCGACGGGCCAGATAAATCCGGTCATACGCCACTCTTTCATGCTGCCCGCAATTGTGATGAAGAAGTAGTCAAACTACTGCAAGCCCGAAAGTCTCCCTAAAACGAAGATACGCAGCCCCCACCACTCGTCCAAGAATTAAGATGTAGAACCCCACGGAGCTCAACTATTTACACTCAAAGCGCTTATTCTTCATCCTTTTTTAGCGCTAGCCTTGCCCAACCTGATGGAGCCTTTTGTATGCCACTACCGGCATCACCACCTTCTTTTTTCCCCTTCTATGCCCTCTATATCCGCCCTATGACCTCAGCTTGAAAATATTCCTTGCTATTACTATCTTATAAGGAGATATATATGATACCTCTCTGAAATCTCCGGATATTTGCTAACATCCATGTATCAAGTCTAGCGGGTTCTTGTTCCTTATATTTCACAGACAGCAACTGGGGGATATTTTATTTGTCAACTTACACTTTCATTCCTATTCCCAACCGCATAGATACCTTGTCGTAATATCTTCTTTCTACTTTTCTTTATGTATTTAGTTCCTCGTTTTACCCCAGCGGCGATGGACGGATGGACGGATAGATGGACAGATATATAAATCATAGAGACCACTTTCTCCCGAAGTACACGACCTAGTGAATGCGTTCCCGAAGCCACTGTGTAGAGGAGAATCTACTCCAAATGTGGCGATTTCGAGGTTATATTGTTTTCAGCAAAAATTAGCACACGCTATACTTATCTTCACCTGCAAACTACCGCCCAATCCATTAGACCACTTCCGAGCTCCTGCTCTCCCTACTTTCCCCGCCTAGTAAGCTGTCTTGCGTCCATGCGGCGCCCAAGCTGAACCACTAAACCAGCGCGAAGGCAGTAACCTGAAGAAGATCTGTGATTATCTGGCAGCACCCTCAAGCCCACTACTCTTACCGCGCTGGACCTTTGGCTGCATGAAAAGTTTCGGTTATCTAGGATAAAAACCAGAACAATTGGTCACCACGCTAGGAGGCTAGAGTTGCCTAGCACGGTCGGTCGTATTTCTTTTCAATTGTCTTAGCTGACAGCTAAATGGTAGCCCCCTTTCCCTGCGCTTTCTCCCCCTAACCCAAAGGAGGAAGTTCTGGACGCCTCAGCACGAGGCACAATTACTCCCAATTCCTATGATATTCATACAATATGCCGGTAATCTGTGATACCCTGCTTGGTTACGATAGTCTCGCGGGAAGCGGGGAAAATAATAAATGTATGAGTGATCCAGGGGCTTTGAACATAATCCTTTGCTGTTCGCAGAAGCAGGGAAGGTGTGGGTCGGGTTGTCACAATTCCACCTTAGCACTCGAGCGTTCCAAGCACCCCCATGGCTAGAGCTATTCCGGTGATGGAACTATTCCAGTGATGCGGCTACTACCCCACGTTGGTACAGGTGTGAGCGATAGATACCGCACCACACTATAATGTATAATTGGCCTACAGAACCGCGACGCCTCACCTTAGTGCCCTATACC